TTCGTGATACTTGGGTCCACCTGTCGTGCCAGATACCATGACCTTTCCACCCCAAAGTGATGCTGATCGTGAAGTTCCTTTGCAGAAACACCAACCGCCCCACAACCCAATCTGTCGACTTTGGCCCACTCCTTCCACTCCTTCGTAACCCTGGTCATCGCATCCGCCTTGTTGCCTTTCGACCCTATGATCTGTACCCGGATTGTTAGTCCCAGTTCTTCAACCATCTCCTTCAGTACTGCCAGCCTGCGCTTCACCAAGATCTCTGCTGCACCCGCAGTCTTGACTCGCCTTTCTTCTGACAAGGTCAAATCGATCCATCGGCCCACAGTAACCGAATCTGTCATAATAAACATGTCTTTAAGCCCCCATTTCACCCCCAAGTTCACACCCTTCAGTACCGCATCCAATTCTGCCACGTTTATATGGTGATAATCATCTGGCTTTCCCATCCAGGCCGCATCCTCAGCCACCACTCCGTCTATCTCTAGGTTTACGCCTTCGCATAAGTAACTCGCATCACACCAGACGGTGCCATCAGTGGCATGTTCGACCCCCCATTCTCCCCTGACCGGATCATCTTTTCCAACACGCGCTACAATCTCCTCCACCATTACCTGAGCCCTGTCACAAATATAGCTGTCCCATTTCTCTCCCCCTGAATGGCGTTTCACGTAACTGCATGCCAACCTCAGCCATCCCGCAATAGGATAATGTGCAGTGAGCTTCCCACACAGTGAAAACAGCTCTCGTTTCGTCAGTCGACGATTCACCCTTGGTAACTCCCCGCTTCGTCCAAACCACAATCTGCCCGCTGGACCCCTAAAAAGCTTCAAGCCCAGTGCAGTTCCACCTTCCAGCTTCTCTGCCGGTTTGGCAACAAGCCCATACCTCCTCAAGTGGGAAATAACATCCTCTGAGCTGACTTGGGACACACTCACCAAAATATCATCAATATAATATGAACTTGTGGAAAATCGAATATCATCCCTCTGCTCCAGCACAGTCTTCAACACTTTTGTCATTATCCGTGGCGCACAGTTCAGCCCAAACCCTAACCGCGTCAGGCAGTAGGACTTTCCTGTGAACCTCACCAGTTGATACTTCCATAGTTCCCGACTGACATGTAGTTGTAGGTATGCTGCCTTCAGATCAACTATCTCAGTGTCGCCCTCCACCTGCCTCCACTGTCTTAACACATCATCGCACACATCTATCAGATCGTCGCCCGTGTGGCACTCCACTGCTTCGTTCAACTCTCTAAAGTCAAGTACAGGCCTCACCTTGTTTTTGTTGACTTGATCAACCGCCATCAGCGGAATAATCCCTTCATCGACCTCCTCGTCCCAAGGCATCAATATCCCCTCGTTTATCCATTTCTCCACTTCCTGCTCAAAGCTAGTAACCTTCTCCGTGCTCATTTCATGGTTGCAGCGGCTCACCTTGTTCTTCAATACCGGAGCCTTCCCTTCTATCCAATGATACTTCACAGTCCAGATTCTTCCATCAAAGGAAGCTTCAAAGTCCCTGTCTCTCACAATTAGATCCGCATCTACAGTGTCGGACCTCTTCTCGGGTTCAATCGAAGCACATGCCACCCCTCCCCCGAACTGCACGTTTGACCGTCCCACTGTCACCC